AATTATACATTTTAATTTTTATTTAATACCAGTATTATACCTTTGTTTAGACTACATCAGTTTCTTTGGGGAATATTGAAATATTTTCAGTATATACACATAAACCATTAAATATACCCATATTCCGGTAACATATATCTCTCTATAAATTTATAATCATACTCTGACAGAAGTTGACTCTCTGGAACAGTAATATCATTTCTGCTATAGTGCTTTCCAAAATCATGGTAGTGGAATGATGTGGATCATTCTGAACTTGCATGTAAAACCTCAGTTAAAGGACTGTCAGAATACCACAAGCTGAGTGTGCTAAAAGTGATTTCCCACAGGATTTGTGCTCAGAAGGCACAGTTGCTGGCTGTCAGACAGCCATACATGGCAAATATGAGAACAAAGACAGTACTAATTCATAAGCATTATATTCATTATTCAAAGTATACAGTTGATAAATGGAAAAATGCCACGTTCGTAAGCACATTTTTGTAAGTTTGGAAATGCAAATGCTCAGCTCAGAAACATTGTTTTGAGATTTAAAGAGTTTTGCTGATCCACTGTTTTCCCTTAGAAAACCACAAGCTATGTAGACCACAAGAAGTGAATGGTATCAAAATGACAAAACTAGGTATGAACTCTGTTATTCAAGGATACAAAATTTAGGAGGAATACAGGAATAGGCTAAATAATATTCTAAGCTGTTTTAAGTTATTGGAGAAATATGTTAGCATCAGACTGGAAAAATTTCTAAACTCAGACACCAGTTTTCACAGAGAATGTTATTTGATAACAAGGGATATAAAAAGGTGTGTGTGCTGGCATGAAACTCTGGATAACATCAGAAGAGCCTACTTCCAGTACTTAACATGGAACCTGGGGAAAAGATGGCTTTCAGGGAACTGTTATAAAATGTCTCTGTCTATATCATCTACTTCCAGTAGTTGCTGTTACAGATTTTTGAACTACATTTTGGGTCACAAGGTGTATGTCTGAACATGAGCTTTCTTAATTCTGTTTAAATTCAGGTTTTTCTGGGAAGCAAGACACCTGTTTTCCATTAAAACTTTGCTGTGATTCAGTTGTAGATGTCAGCTAAATAAATACTTGGGAGGCCTCAGGACAACTGGGACAACTGAGGCAAGTTCTCGAGGTGCCAAATACACACCAAAGACCAAGGCCTCATAAAGAGCCATGGAAAAGGCTACAAAATAGCTTGGAAGGAATAAAGAGATGGATCGTGACAATTGCTGACAATTGACTGTTTTCAACCAGGTGCCTCCTCAGTAGTGTTTGTCGGGGAAGGATATTTCCTGGACATATCCAAACCTCCCTATTGACTGTAAACATGTCTTTGAGATGTCTGTCAGACATTACATGCAAGTGCCATGTTTTTAGGTGTCCACCAGGTCCTAAAGTCTTAATGAATTTTGTAAATGAAAACTATATATCTTATTTAAATATAAGAAATCCATTAAAGAAATTAAGAAGTAGGTAATGTTATTTTAAACTTAGGAAAGCTACGATCTTGAAATGTAGATTTTGTTGTTTTAATTCTTCCTACCAGTTGGAAGCAAGCGCAAGCAGATCTCCTTTTCTTTGAGTCTGAAATTTGATCTTTTAGACTGAAAAGGACCCTGTAATTTTCCTTCAAATTACAAATGAAAAGATAGCTACTGACCGCAGCGTAATTGTATCCCTCTGTCTCCATAACTTAGCTATAAAAAGACAGTTCTAACACACATATCTCTTTGTTTCCAGAAAAGCAGTCTATCTTGAAACTCTGCATTTGGACAAGAAAGCCAGCAGAATGTGTAATTCAGGGGCCATTTGTGTCAGCTTTGTTTGAAATCCTGCTCTAAATCTGAACGACAGAGAAGGAATGTGGCCTCTGTTCATATGACAAAAGCCGAAAAGTTACAAGCATTAACAGCTTTCCAGGCAGCTCCTTGAATCCTTCAATATCATTTGTAGTGGATGGGGTTTCTCAAAACACTATTCCCCACATTTAATGCTCCAGACCATGGCACTTTATAACACATTCATCCAGCATATCACATCCACATGGCACAGCACAACCACTGAAGGAAAAATAAAGGAAAAATTGCAGAAGATTAATAGATGGTGGAAGTGTGGAGATAAGGCTCAAGGTAAACAAATTGTTGTATTAATTATAACTCTCTACTCACTAGTCTAGTCTGGAAAGGAAGCATGCTCAAATCTAAAACAGGAAAGTCATACTTGAAATTGCATTTTAAGTTTTCATATTTCAGTGGGTAGGTACCTGTATTTAACAGAGTGGAATGAAATGGAGTATTTATGAAGCATTACAAAATATCCATTTTTTGGTAAATTTGTCAGAGCTCCTTCATAACAGCATGCATGAATTTTGTTTATGCTGACATTTAAGATTGCCTTTGAAAGTAACCTTTTTCCAGCTTGACAAAAAGGTCTTCTCTCCCTAAACCTTCATTTACCATCTGCACTGCAGAGCAGTGCATTTCCTTCTTAAACCTCCCCAGAAGCCCTTCATGAAAAAACAAAATCACTCCCATCTCTGCTTTCAAATTTGACACTGATTATGACAGAAAAATAAAAATAAATTAAAGGACTGAGGCACCCTAAACTGCTGTGGGTAAAGGCCTACCAGGACAGGAGACAGGAGAGGGATGCTTACAAGGGCATGTATTGATAGACCTAGAAAGATTTAGATTAGGAATTGGGAAAAAATTCTTTACTTATTTGTTTACTAGTTCTCCATCCATTTTAAGCATTGAGGTGTTTTTTCCTCTTTGCCCACTGTCATTCAATGCAGAGTTGCTGAAGGAATGAAGACTAAAGACCAAGAAATGATTAAAACAGAAGCTGAGGGTAGTAGGGCACTGGAACAGGATGCCCAGAGAAGCTGTAGATGGTGGAGGTGTCCAAGGCCAGGCTGGGTGGGACTCTGAGCAACCTGGTCTGGTGGGAAGTGCCCATGGCAGGAAGGGGTGGAACTTGGTGATCTTTAAGGTCCCTTCCATTCCAAGCTATTCTATGCTGGTACAAGTGAGTGGTGTATACACTGCACAGCCTCATGCCCAGAAAATCAGTTTTCTTAGGGTTAAGCTAACCCTAAGTCAGTTTCTAGCAGAGGTGTTTAGCAGCTCTGGATTCATGTCAAATGCAGTCATAAGCACGTCAGTGGCCATGTTCCTAGTTCCCTGACATCACAATAATTACTAGCAAACTTCTGTTAATTCTGGAAAAGTCTGTACTTCCCACTTCTTTAAATTAATCAAAGACAGAACTGAGTGGGATTTTAAGTATTACATTTGAGCTCTGCTAACAAATAGCAACATTCTAGATCAAAACGTGTGTTCATAGCTGTCTTGGTAAAAATCACTAAAGAGGCAAGCTGTGAGTTAAACTCATCCAGGGAGGATGGAACACTTTAAATTAAGCTGTTTTCCTTCCTACTGTTATCCTATTTTAAAAAGAGATAGAAAAATTATACTAACAATAGTTGTATGTAGTCAGGACCATTGTAACTGTAAACCAAAAATGCAAATAAGAACTTAAAATGTAACAGTGCATAACAGATGTAGAATAAAACTGTATTAAGCCCATTAAAATATTAATTGATTATGTATTTGAAGCAATGTAACAACCACAGAAAATAATAGATATATATCAAATCAAAATTTGCAGAGAGCTTCTTGACTTTACAATTAAAAAATTTGATTTCCTACTTCACTGAAGTTGAGATAATCACAGAAAATGTCAAATTTAAAACATAATGAATCCACTCCCTACAAAACTAGACAATGTACATTTCTAAAGCAGAATATTGGTCAAAGTCTCTCACATCCAAATTCTACCATAACAGAAGAAACATTTTTGAAAGTAGACATCAGTATGTTAAAAATAATGCCTTGAGCTCATACTGTCTTCAAATGTAAGCACCACGTAAAGTAAATCTTAAATAGAAACAAAAAAACCAAAATAATTATCTCAACAGTCTCTCTCTCATTTGTCATTCTCAATTTGAAAATTTGATCAGCAAGATACAGTCAATGTTTTTCAAAGCTTTCATCAGCTTCCCCTACTCTCTAGTAGCTATCCCTATTGAAGAGGAAAACTAAGAAGAGAAATTATGACAGAAAGTAGCAAACTGCCAAGGTATTAAAGGACAGAAATACAATCATCAAAGAGATCCTCTTTAATTTTAAATCTTTCTTTGAACTTGCTTATAAAATGAAAAATAACATGTTCATGAAGAGAATTTAATTTGAGATTATTACCTCATAATAACCAGCATATTATAAACTAATTTGGGACACTCAAAATTCAATAGAATAATGCACAAAGAAATGCTGTCCCAGAATAAAGGAACTCTGAAACATACAAAGTACTTAATAATGATTTTCTCAGCCCAAACTGCTTTTTAGTATTTAGTATTTAGTATCTTGATTTCACTTCTTCTCTTTTTACCATGTTCTCTGAGGTTTCCCCAACCAATTTTTAATTCTTTTCCTACATTAGAGCTTCATACATTTCCAAACTTTTCCTCTTAGTCTGCTTCCCCAGATACCAGTTTTCAAAAACCTTGACTAATTACAGGTTGATGACCTATTGCAGACAAGCAACTTATATTGTTAGTGTAGCGGTTTAGATTCCCCAATTTGAGTTTCCTGGCCAATGAACCAAATCATGTGGTGGGTTTAGCACCAGCACAGTAACATTGTAAAAAAAGTCATATTTCCAAGTGTTTTTCAAAACTGAAAAATAGAAGTTTACAGAAAATCTTTTCACAGGGGTTTTAAATATATTCATCATCAGCAACAAATTATTCATAATATATTTAAAAACTGCAGAACAATAGATATGATTTTCCTTTGAAATAATAACTTGTCACATAAATAAAAAAATGTTGTTAGCAATTCTGTGTTGAAAAATCACGTGTTCAAAAAATATGAATATTTATAGAAAATAACATTTACTTATTAGATTTATGTATAAATTCTTACCTAAGCTGTTTAAAAGCTTCTGCTTTCACAAGTGGTGTTTCTACAGAATGTTCAAAAAGTGCTCCTTCAGGCCCTGCAAAAAAAAAAAAAAACAAAAGAAAAATACTGTAATGTAACAGTTCAAATACAACACAAAGATAGCAAGAAGTTTGGTTTTTGTTTAATATGGCCACTTTGATGTTGGAAATCAAGATAAGAGAACACATGTTAAGAATTATAAGACAACTGAAATATAGCTACCTTATTACCATTGCAGTATTGGTGAGAACAATACCATATAGAAGTAATGTAAATGTACAGCTGTAAATTCTAAAAATGAAATCCAAGAAGTCTGAAGACAGAGGAATTTTAAACTACTTGAGAAAATAAGTAAATAAGATTTATACAATGCAACTTTCATTACAGTTAAAATCCCAGAAAACTTCGCAAATACTACAGTCCTAAATAATTGTGTTATTGTAGACTGCTCCATGCATATCATAACTTCTGTCATATAGCTTTATCAAAGATTCTCCCCTATTTATAGGCAGACTTGCTGAATATGAAATGGTGTTTCTGTATGCAAAATGTAAATGACTATGGGATCAGATAGTTTATGTCTTGATATACAAGTAATTTCATTCCAAAGAGGAAGAAACAGTGGGCACCAAGCCTCACCAGGAGCCCCCCTGTTGGACCTGAAAATCTTCCAAGGACCTCCATTTCTGCTCTCCTGAGTATCAGCATTATTTCAGTATCACCAGGCCGGTGGCCACCTTCCACCTAAGCTCCACTAGGATCAGGAAATTGGCTGATGTTGGACAATAGCCCCTCAGCAACAGAGACAGCTCGAAAAAGCAGCTGAACACCACCACCTACAGCAAGGGTGCAGACTCTCAATTTCTGTTCCTTGGCTCTGTGAACATACTCATCAAAAACTGGAGAGCTCTTAGGTTGAGAGATCTTCTCTGGCCTCGAGGATTTACATATGTGAGAACTTTCCAGGTAAATATGTAGCAAGGCAATATATTTCAATAGTTAGGATATCAGTCAAGGTGGATTGTCTGGCTGCTCTTTATGCCATTACCCTAGAAAGAATTCTGGGCTCTAAAAATCCCAATGTTAGGGATCTGGGCTCTGTCTAGGCAGAGAATGGCAATGGATGATTAAAAAGTGTGGTGCAGATTGCATAAATGTGGTATTAGATTGTTTTAAATGTGGTATAAAGGGAAAAATAATTGAAAATTGGTTGGGGCAACTTCACAGAAAAGGAAGTGAAATCAAGAAAAACATTAAAAATGAATACATTGCTGAGACAACTGACAGGAAGACTTTCACTTCATGAGGACTGCAGGAAAATTCTGAGAATGTCCTGAGAAGGCATGAAATGTGCTGCTTTTTGAGAAGAGTTTTATCTGAAATCGTGATTCCTTAGAATGAAATCCTCTTGGCTTGGATGGAAGAGAAGTAAACAAGATACAAGAATTACCATATCAAATCACTTCAGCAATTTGAGGATTCATTGATTTACTAAGCTTGAATTTAAATTTTATTTAGCTTTTGATACCCTCCTCATCAATTTGAATAGATTAATCTTTCTGTAAATTAAAAACTGGCATGAATATAATACTGGAAAACTTAAAATTTATTAATTCAGACAGAGCTTTAACCCTGCTTCATTAACATTTCATTTCATTTTCATTAAGATTATTCTGCACCTAAAGGAATTAAAAATGTTTATCAGAAAACGCTGATTTGGTGCAGCTAAGATATTTTGCAGGGATGTTCTGATATGTCAAAAGTGCAGATGTGGCACTTGGGGACATGATTTAGTGACTTAGAAGTGCTGGGTTAATGGTTCGGCTCGGTGATCTTAACAGTTCTTTTCCAGCCTAAGTGATTCTAAGATCCTATGATTCTATAAAGATAAGTAAGTGGTTACAGAGATAGTATTAGTTTAATGGAAATAGGGGCTAATGGAAGAAAGAGAACAGGAAACATCAGTGTTAATGTTCTAGGCGGTGGGCAGGTGGTGTAAAATGGAATGAAAAGGCTTATTTCCATATTCTAGAGCTGTCATCTTTAAGCAAGAATAGAACTTTGTCTTTAATGTAAGTAAAACCTCTTCATCAAACAGCATTAAGTTATAACAGTATGCCATTAATACAAAAAAAAATCTCTGGACAACTTTTTTTGGAAAATGCCCCTAAATTGATTTCCTGTCTTCATTTCATACTTTATCTTTTTAACTGTGATATGACTACTAATATATTTACTGTTTTATAGGCTGTTTATTAAGATATTTTAATTTATTTATAAAATATGCAAAAAAAAGACATTAATTTTCTCAATGAGAGGACTGAAGTCAGCAAGACTCATTAACACCCCACGCACCCTATCAGGCAAGGACCATTTGCCTTCTCAAAATCTAACAGAATGTTTACTCACACCCTCAAATTGCCTCCTACTTAACTTACCTTCTGAGCAGAAGTGTTTAAATTAAACACACACTGTCACATTGCACTTCAGCATTAGCTACACAAACTGAAAACCTTTGCACAGAACAGAGCACTAGAAAATCACAGACAATACTCAGCAAATACTTCAGGGGATTTTTATAAAAGGCAAGCAAGCAGAAGGGCAAGTAGTAAACTGGAGAAAGGGTGCTATAAATATGCTTCTCCATAAAAATATTGATCCTCTCTACCCTGCCAGCTTTCCTTTAAGAAAAAAAAATAAAAAGCGTAGATGTGGCGCTTGGGGATGTGGTTTAGTGGCGAACATAGCAGTGTTAGGTTAATGGCTGGGTGTTATCTTAGAGATCTTCTCTAACCTTTACAATTCTATGTTTCTAAGAGCCTGCCATGACAACGTTATAAAGCAGCCGTCTCTTTGCCAGCCAATACAGTTACAAGGTGGTTTCACTGTCACCAATGCCAGCTGAATGTACAAAACCCTCCCAGAACAAATCACAGATGTTCGGTACCACCACAGCAACATAACAAATGCCTGCAAAATGCAGGTCCTTACTGAAATAATATTAAAGAAGATGCAGCTGTAGTCCATGCTCCTTCAGGTGCAGTCACAGTCACAAAGGGTTAAGCCAAGCCTCAGTCTGATATCCAGTGAAACATGTAGCTGCCACAGATGAGCCAGAGGCAGTGTTTCTTTGCCTAATCGCATGGACTTACTGTCACCTGGAACACCCTTGTGCATCCTGCCTGGGCTCCAGCTGCCATGATCACAGGAAGCATCTCTTGGAGATAAAGTGATACCATGTGGTGTCTCACATGCCCCAGGGCATTTCACACACAGCTGGATGTTCATGTTTGAGCATGTGAGCTCAGCCACTATATCCAAGGGAGATGACAAGCCCTGGAGCCCTCCCCAAAGCAGAGAACAGCAAGAGCTCTGCCCGGGGCAGGCGCTGGCAACTCTGCGCTCCAGAGGAACGTGGCCACCCACACCTGCCAGCGACCCTGCGGGGAATTGGAGGCACGTTCCTGGTTGAGGCTTTTCCCAGGCGTTTGTCCTTCTTTGATTTGCACTACTATTCTACACAGGGGCCAGAGAACGTCTGAGTGAAATAGTATGAGTTGAAACATATTAATGGTAGGAATGTGACAATTCTCGAGGTGTTGGATTGGATTGTATTACTCTTAGACCTTTTCCTTTGTCTTGAAATACTGTAAATCAAATGCTCCATTTGCTCTCTGCTATATTATATTTTAGTTGAAAATTGTCAGGTTTTCTTAAAAACCATTACTGAGCTTTTCATAATTCACATAAATAAGGAGAAGTAAAATCAAAATAGTTCCCTACACTGTACATAAAAGACTCCAAAATGTTCTTTGCGTATTTTAAGCCCAGGATCATCTGTTTTTTATGGTATGAACTTTTCAAAATTTATTTCACATTGATCTTGTTCTCCATCAAAAATCTTTAAAAAATAATCTCAGTATGCAAAGTATTACTAATTTATCCTTCATGCTAATAGTATCATTTGAATCACAATAATTTATCCTTCATGCTAATAGTATCATTTAAATCACAATTTTAATAAGTTAATTTGAAGCAAAGTAGGCATGAATCTCCTCTCACTTACATTAATTTTACACTGAAATAACCTCACTGACTTTAATGTATTTGCTTTTGAATTTTACTACAGTGTAAAAAAAAGAAATAGGCAGTGTGTCTTAGTACAGTACCTGCTGAAGTAAATAATTATCAATGCACTGTAAAGATTAATATTGGATGAGTGAGTCATTAATATTAACATAACAATTTCAACTCATATATGAATGATTTTTACTTACTTTGAGCAGAGATAGACCTATTCCAAATCAGTTAACAATTATGCAGTTTTTCATATCTTTGTTAAACACGCTTTTCTATTAAAGTTTAGCATCCCTTGGGCAAACAATAATTATTTGATAGGGTTTCCTGGTTAAACAAAGTTGTAATTTCAATTAGGTTAAAAAATAAAAAACCTTAAGATAAGACCCTCAGGCATAAACAAAATTTATTAACACATTTATTATAACTTAACTTTGGCTTTCAAACACTAATTGTATAGTTACTGCCATATTTATAGTTTTGACAGTGATATAATATGAATCTATTTATTAAAATGAAGACCTCAAGATTTCAGAGGACCTGTAACTAGCAAAGGCCAAGCATGATAGTTTCAAACAAGTAAAAAGTATTATAAAATGAATTGAAAAGAAATTACAGAGTAATTTCAGTATTTCTTTTGATGGATTCTTCTGCTCAAAGAGAAATCACACCTTGATGTATCTATTTTAATGCAACCTTACACCTAGAAAATGAAGGTTGACTTTAACAGGTAGCATGAAAGGAAGTAGCTTTTCATGTGATAATTTTGACGTATTACTGTGTAAATGAGTACTTCAGTGATTTGAAGAAACAGCCTAAGACAAACTTTTCTCTTGACAGGTGACATTTAAGATATACTACAAATATCTTCCTGTGACATATGTGCTACTCACGGAACAGCAATACAATCGATTTCACTTTGAAAGATAAAACCATATAAAAATATCAGAGAGATATTTCTCTCTCTAAAGTTTTCACAGATCAGACTTGTTACTACTCAGAATGAAATACCTAGAATTTTTTCAGCCTCAGACAGCATGCACTGGAAACATTAAATAATTAATAAAAAGATGCACCACTAAAGTTCCTATTACTAATGGCTTTAAAATAAAACATACATACAGAAATGTTTACATATTATATATATATATTTAATTTTATGTTAAAAATTCTTATTGATTATTTATTGAAAAAGGTCAAATTATCTTCATATTATTGTTTCCTAATGAGGTAAAAACAGAACTTGAATTCAGACATAATAACATATTTAAAAATGCCATTCTTATTGTGCTTTCCACATGGTTATTATCTGAGCATTTCCTAAACCATTACAAACCTGTGACTCGAAGCTTATCTGTGCCAATTACAATTTCATTTTCATCCACTGTGAAAAGTGGCTTTCCATCCTTTGAGTTGATCTGAAATTGCTGACTGTGGAATTCTACCATTTTAGGACCTGCAAAACACAGTAGAATAATGGAATAATTTAATCATAATTCTTCAATTTTCTATATAAATTATTAATAATTTTAATTTAATTTAATGATTCATTGAAGTACACTTAAGCTCATGAAGCACTCAGATATTCTAAGGATAGTGGCCTTGTAAGTTCTGAAATTGGGTAAATCTATTAACATGATCTAATTTGTTGTTTAAAACCATGACTGGAGTCTTCCCTTATACTTGGGTTTCCAGGGAATCTAGAAAATCCCACACAAATTGATCCAAACATTCATGTTCTTAGTGTTTAAACTGCTTTGATCAGAATTAATCTATCTTTTATATATATATATATATTTATATATATATATGTATATATATAAATATATATATATATTTTAAACAGAAACTGCTTATCAAAGTCTTTGAAGCATCATCCCTTTTCATTAGGGAGGACCAAATCCCTTAAAATTACAAACATCCCATGTAAGAGCAGGACTTCAGATCTTCATAAGAGATGCCAGTTTGGCTCCACATACCTAACAAATGTTACTGATCATGTTCTTAAGTGTTTCAAGAAGCTATAAGAATATTTGCAATTGATTCTGGTACTCCAAAAATGAAAAATAATACGAGCAAGAGAATCTGTGTGTACTTCCAGATCCTAAATTCACTAAAACTTCAAATTCTACAGTGCTGGCTTGGTAAGTAGATAAAAATCAAACTCTTAATATTCCCTCTTGTAATAACCTGATCAATTAAAATTCACACCACATCGAGCCTGAGTATCTATTAGATAGAGTTGTCATCATAAATCTATGTTCAGAATTAAAATTACAGAGAATAGTCAAAGCAGTTAAGACTCCTTTTCAGCAAGTTTTAATAAATATATTTCACAGACTATCCACAGGACTGAGAGTCACTGAATTGTTTCCTTCCCATTAAGAACCTGTTTCCCATATCTGATCCCATAAATGTTAAATATATTCTAGGCAGTGATTCTCAAAAGAAAGAGGAATTTTTATTTATTTATTTATTTATTTTTAGATCTTATGTAAAAGGAGCACTAGGTGACAGATGATTGATACTGGTATGAAATAAGAAATACATGCAGGTACTTCACAAAATCTGGTTGGAGGCTGGTATGAGGGAAGCACAGCATGAGGATCCATACAAATTGCTTATTGCTTCACTCAGCAGATGCATAGCCTTGATTTTAACTGCCCACTAAACACAGAAAGAGTTAGAGAAGCTATAATGTCCTAAACTAGGGCAACAATTTTAAGGCATAAAGCCCAATACTGATTCTAATTGAAAATAGTCAGGATAGAAGGCTGAGCTCTGCATTATGTTATGCTTTGCTGTACACGTGCACCCAAGCACAGCCTTATGGACCCCAATTTAGCTCTTCTCTAAAGCTATTATGAAGCCCGTGACTTTATTTCTGAGAGGTATGTTACAAAAAGTGAGATCAGAAAATATCTTTGTCAAGTGAAAAAGTCTTAAATGGTATTTTTGAATTTTTTTTTCAGCAAAAGAAATAGTTCTGGGTAAGTGAGGCAGAGATAGATCCCTGTCAATAGTTTCCTACAGAATCTTGGTTCAGGTTTTATTTAAGATCCCTTCCAATCTGAGCCATTTTATGTTTCAGTGATTGATTCTTCTTGTTTGTGCCCAGCAACAATAATGAAACTGGCCACTTATGCAGAGTAGCTAGGTCCCTGTGTATTCAAACAAATCAAAGGCCTGAGTAAAATGGATGTTATCAACTTTACCAGGGCTGCAGGGGCTGGTCCCACATCCTTCCCATTCATCCAACCCCATGATTTCTAAAGCTAGCTTAATTAAGGAAAACCTCTACAGGCACTGTGAGAACACTCACTGAACATTTTATACACTCCGAAGGTACTTTAACTTGTCGCTCTTTGAAATTCCAACTCATGCCAGCCTTGCCCATGCTGGATTGGCATTTACCCTGTTTGGTCCTGGACCTTGAACACTTGAATAAATCTTTAACAAGAATCTTTAGGTCTATAGTTTTCTTATCACAAGTACCCCACTAATGTGAGACAAGTATTTTCCTATAGATAATCTTCACTATCAGAGAATGGTATGGATAATAATTGATGTATCTTAAATCCTAAGAGGGAATCCTAGGGTTAACAAAATTCAAGTGTATGTTTTATTCATGCTAGAGATGAGACATCTCAGGGTTTCAAAAAGAAATAACAGGCTTTTACATAAATGGGAATAAGTTTATGTAATGAAAAGTAGCCATTAATTTCTCTTAATGGTATTCCACAATACACAAAAACTAGCTATATTGCAATAACACTAATTATATCATAATCCCAGTGAGATTAATTTTCAACTCACAAACAGCAGCCAAACTCAGTATCTGAAAGTGTAATCTCATAATGCCTGAATGTGTTTTGTTTACCACCCTAGTATATTAACTACATGTAAGTCAACTAATATTATATAATCACATTTGCTGATAAAATCCTACAATTAAAAATGCAACCCAGCTGAATGCAGGTTATAGAAAGTATTTGTTTTCTGCTTGCTGTCAGATGTGTCACATGAATTTCCAGGTCAATGGGTTATTCTTGCTATTCAGGCTGATTATTACCCATGATTTCTGTGCATTTCCTCCTTTAATGTGCAGCCCTGAAGCAGACCTTGTAAGTGATCTTCACATCACATATCTCTTGACACTGAGGATGCTGCTTGAAATGATGAACTTTTTTTTTTCCAAAAAGAAACTGACATATTGCTAAACAGTCCTTGTTTTCATTTGTCCTCACTCTTTACTTCCCTACAGATTTTCCAGGGAAGGAAGCCCTTTGGTGTAGTGACTCCATTTCACTTGAAAAGCATTTTAATAAACTGCCTTCTACTGCTACACAACCTTTGAATTCCAGGCCAATACAAATGTTACCATGGGGTTAAATGTTTCTGAAAATGTTTCTTAAAATCATGTAGAAGTAGGCCACAAAAATGCTTGGTATTAGGGATGGTCTAGCAAGCTGAAATGTTTACGGTAAAGGGAGCTGGTACTTGGGGTCGCCAAGATACCCACCCAGAGATAAGATTCGTACATATTCATACAAGGATGAGCTAACTCTCATGAAGCAATATCGATAAAGTTAATGAAGCAATATTAATGAAGCAATATTGATAAGGTTGTTACAGTGATTACTGCTACAGCTGAAATTGTATAAATTTGTGCACTTTGGACAAAGATAATGGAGCTAGATTTGGGTTGCTGATACCCCTAGTTCCCGTGCGCTTCAATAAAGCAGCTGCATATAATCAATCTATGATTATGTGTGTGTCTGAGCGCTAACACAAATAGAGACGTACCAGATAGCAAAGGATCTTCTGTCAAAAACAGGGCCTGCCATGAAATAAATATCCACAAATGCTTAATGCCAATGAAATTTGAGGAGAGTCAATGTGTTACCAGTGAGCAGACTCTTCCAATAGTTAGTTCTGCCAAATTCTAAGCATTTTAGTGCCCTTAGATCTTTCAGAGGAAAAGGCTTTCCAACATTGGATTTACTTCTATCAATAAGTAATTTCATATCTCTTATTTCTTACTTTCTTTACTTTATCTGCCATTTCCAATTAACCTACAGCTGTCAGATACTCTGTATGCTTTGCTCTTCTCCTACCACCTAGAATCACTGAAGTATTGGGTATAAACCAAAATGCTGAGTGCTCTTTGGTATTCCTATGCAATTTCCTTTTTTAGTTAATTTTTATTAAACTAAAGCACCTTACTTAAAATAAGATCTCATTAAAAGTGTATTAAAAATGTAATACTCCTACAGATTCAGTTCTCATTCCATGAGTGATAGAATGCAATTCTAATAAATGTGAAGTCCTTACTTTCAGAAACATAAAATTAGTTATATTTTCATATGGAACAGTATGGTATTTCATTAGAACAAAGGCATTATTACAGAGAATATGCAGCATATTGCACATACATTTTATGTCCATATCATACATCTCTCATAGCTCTGAACAACAACTATAATAATAAATAGAACACTTGCTGCTCCTGTTTCCTCTTTTTCTCTCAGTTCTCCTTTTATTCAATGGATGAAACAGTTATATCCTCTCAGATCAAAGCAAGAATGCCTCACCATCACTACTGTTTATACTTCGTTGTTATCTGTGATTGAACACAAGTCTAGAGACCTTAAAAAATTGGTCACCTTTCCTCACAGGCTTAATGAATACAAATTTTGTTGCACGATGAAGAACTTCAACAGGAAAAGCAGAAACACACAGTTCTCAGACAGATAAGGTGAAAAAGAAAATACTAAAGGAGATGAGGCATGATAATTTGAAATCCTGTATGCAGAGACGATAGCTGAACTGAGTCTCTCCTTCCTGAGCGAGTACTTTAACTACTTTATCATCTGTATAATGGATATTCTTCTTCCCCTTTTCTTCTTTCTTTTAAAAAAAGAAAGCCATGAGTGTACTTCCATAAGGTCAGCTCCTGCAGTGTGTTTCAGCAGTATTCTAAGCATACATACTAGATCTGGGCAGAAGACAGTGTGAGAGGATCTGCTGAACAGATGGAGCACGATTCAGTTCACAACATCGCTGTCTACTACCATTATACATTCTTTCATGCCCGGCCTTCAGCATATTTCAGATGTCCTAGAGTATCTAGCACTTCTGGATCAGACCAGAAAGTCTGACATGGAGTCTGTAAGCAATGTGAGCCTTTTCAGTGTGTCAGCTGAAGACTGGGCAAGGTGGAATCACAGAAGAATGCAAGCCAGAGGCCACCTCTGTAAGTCCTACTTCCTAACCACATAAGGGTCAGTTTTGTTGGAAGTTAGATAAAGATGCTCAGGGTCTTGTCCAGGTGAAATTTTACTACCTCTGAGGAAGGGGATTTAGCAGCCTCCCTGAGCAATTTGTTCCCATGGTTAACCATTCTAACAGTGGTAATTCTCCCCTGCCCCTTCTATCTAGTTGTATTTTGCCTCTCTGCAACCCAGGACCATTGCCTTTTGCCCTCTTCTTGTGCACCCTGAGTCTGGACTCATACTAGTGATTGGACAGCAGGAAATGGCCTCAAGCAAGGAAAGTTCAGGTTTGATATTAGGAAAAATTTCTCCACTAAAAGAGCAGTTAAACCTTGGAACAGGCTACCCAGGGAAGTGGATTCAAAAGTGTTCAAAAAATGAGTAGATGTGGCACTTTGTAATATGCTTTAGTTGGCATGGTGGTATTTGGTCAAAGGTTGGACTTGACCCTGGAGGTCTTTTTTAACCTTAATGATTCCATGATTTACTTTGTCTCTAGCCCTCCTAGTATCAGGTGCAAGTTAGAAGCTCTCCTTAAGCCTTCTTTTCTTGCAGGTTAAACCAACACAACCTCTTCAGACTGCAATACTTCATGTGCTTCACTCCCTGGCCATCTGAACAGCATCTCCCTGTGGACACGTCCTCCTCTGGCTCACAGCTCCGTCATATTCCAGCCCCCTCCCAGGGGAGGGATGATGCAGCCCAGCGTTCTCTTAGTGCTCACTGCCACAAGGATACACTGCAGGTACATGTTAAAGCTGTCCATCAGGACTGGGGGTGTCTTCTGCAGACCTGCTGCACAAAGTTTTAGCAGCCATTTGTCATCCTCTAAATTTCATCTATCTAACCAAATTTTACATTGAAATAAAGTAGCATGTATGTTGTGATATGATCAGATTCACTGATAGGTAGAATTTCTATACTTCAGGAAGCAAACGTTCCTACTTTAAACCCCTTGGAATAAATATTGTATATCCTTGATCATAGGAAGACTTAATCACCTCAAAAATACTTCAACGAATTTTCAGATTTATCTTTCCACTAATTTCTCCTATGGTGTATCTTCCTTTATTATAGCCTAGCTGGACAGCAATTAAAGTTGTGCAAATAATCATCTTCTTGTGGACAAAGACTTTCAAGAAATACATTCTGCCTTTTATATTAAAGATAAGAAAGAATTTATTTGGACAAAAATGAGGTTTTTAATGAAAGGCTCCTGGGAAAAATAAAGAAGGAAAAGCTAACTGATTTTACAATGTCATTAAGTTTATGAAACTGGCTTCAGGGTTTTCCCTGTGAAAACAAGATCAAACTCTTCTTAGAGTCATCATGTTTCCTTAGCACTGTTTTCTTCTTCCAATGCCTCTTATGAAAAAAATACCATCACTTGAAAATGAAATATTAAAATGCTGATAAGAAAACCATACATGATTTCACTACAGAAAGCAGTAGTTTCCTAAATGGTGATTATTAGGGCTAAAGCAATGTATGAGGTACTGACACTGATCTGTTCCCTTGGAATGTTGTTCCAGACCGAAAAAAACAGATAGCACAAACGCTCTTATTGTAACAGCAGTTCAGATTAATGTTATAGACATGAAAATAGTCTCTAAGCAGAATTTTGACTGTAATTCTGTTTTCATACTGCATAAGCCATTTTGACTTTCACCATATTCCCACGCTTTCTGAGTGAAGCTGATTTCATGCTTAACAATGCAGAACAGCTTCATAATCCAACTGTCTAAATAAATTCCAACAAGCTCTAAAGACTTTAAACTGAACCCCTGATCTGAAGCTACTGATGTTACTATTCCTTGGTGTAAAAAAATTAAACTAGGATGAGGATCAGCAAACCATTCTGCTGGAATCTGTTCTCAGAGAACTTATGTAACTTTGGAAACCTTAGTTTTTCTTTTATTTTAAAGTTTTTAATTTATTTTTTTTTTAATTTTCTCCTGAAAAAGACATATTACAAAGAGAATTTAGGGTCTTCTGGAGGTTGAAACTTCCTTACATGATTCTTGAAAGACAGATATCTCAAAAAAATCTTGTCTTTTTTCAGCAGTGCCAGTTGGAAACATGCTGCTCTTCACTGACTTCTTATCCATGACTGGAACACAACTGCAAAAGCTGACTGTATTATTTTCATCTGCTGATAAACTGTCATAGAATTATGTTTATTTAGGTAAAACAGAATTTAAACTGTTTGATTCCAATGCTGCTCTTAATGATTCGATAACTGACTATACAGTCTGTATATTTCTTTTATATGTAACATATTTATCAGTACTCATTACTGAAAAAGTTTGACAAGTTTTTTGCACTAAGTTGATTCACTGTTGCTCAGGATATAAATCGAAAGTGCTGCATTGCTCTTTTTTTCTAGGATTGAATAAGGCTTTTAAGTAGTTAAGAAAAGGAATCTTGGAGATCTTTATTAGCAGCTTTCTTGGATTACCAAAGATAATTCTAGATATTTCAGTTTTGAAAGTTGATAAGCAAGCCATAACAATGACACCTGAATCTTATTCAGGATTTTAAGAAGAGGAGCTATTCTAATGAAAATATTTACCATCTGTTCTGTACATATTGTTGCCTTGCCTATAAGCAACTCTCTCCACAACTTTCTTAATTCCCTATGACCATCAAGCCTGTACATTGCCAGAACTATGCCTTGCTTAGATTCCTTCCTGTCTGGATGTTGTTGGCCAAAATCCTTCTAAGTCACATTTTTCCTAGAAATATAAATAAAGCAATCACTTTCTTTAAATAAGGCTCTTATTTTCCTTTATGCCTTTTTGTTTTGTTCTTGTATGCTTATTTGTAAAAAGTAATTAAAAGAGAATGGGTATTTTTGTCATCCAGGGGGCCACTGAAGTCAAAAAAGAGTAAATAACATAATTGGTTTGTTTGTTTGTTTTTTAATTATGATCCCTATTATTTTGAAAGTATTATTTTCCTGGCAAGCAGTTTTTAAAGTATTTGCATTTAGTGAGGCTTCTGAAAGCAGTATAATTATGGGTCATAGTTCAAAACTCAACATCTACAGCATTTTGTTTTAAAAAACAATGTCCAGACAACTCCTCCAAGAGATGTTTCATGCAGATGAACTGAGGTGCACGTAGAAGCTCTAAAGCGAGAGTGATCATGTTGGAAGTTGTTCACATTTTCTGTCTTTTTAGCATATCTGTGATTCATGAGGGAACGTATAATATGTGCCTGTTATCTTCATAGGGGGAATTTCACAGAAACTCAAGTAAAGATTTGTTTCACATCTCTCTTGTGAATTACTTCTGTTGAAGACTGGGTACTTAAATCATTCTTAGTAACCTATTAAATTCTTTTAACAGATCATTCGAATCACAATTTCCATGAGTTAAAAGGTATTTTTGTTATAATCTTGTGAGAGGTGCTATATTATGTTGTCATCTCTGGAACAATTCCAAGCTTATCTATACAACACTTTCACAATTGCAACTAGTCCTATGTATAAGATGAGTAGAATTTTAAGGCATAGTTCCATCATGTTGGCAATTGTGGAAGATATTAACTCTTCAGCAAATGTTTGTGCACATAAAGTAAATATGTCACACACCTATTTATCACACTCCTTTTGGTAACGATTTAGGGGTATTTTCTTAAGACAAGTCATTCAGAACTTTATGGTTGACTGAATTAAAAAAAGGGAATTTTAAAACATTTAAAGGCTGAATTGTAATTAATTGCATAATTATACATATTTAAGGAGAATAACAAGCTCCTTCATATATTTTAATTTTTTTCCTTTTTGTTTTAAAACTCTTTGAAAACAGTGAAGCTTGCAAAACATTTTATGAATTGAAATGGTAATTCTTCAAACAGGAGTTGCCACAGAAGTTACACAGCCTCAACAGCATGGAAAAGTTACTCATCAATGCTCTGCTGGGTCCCAATTTAGTAAACTACTTAAACATATCAGGTTAGGCTACAGTTAAATAAGCAGGAATTTACGCTTTGCTGCCTGAGGACCGTGTAAGAAATAAGTTAATAAATTGTTACATTTTTCTCCAATGTCAAATAAAGATTGAAAAATAGTAACAAAACTAAGAAAAATTTTGTCATAGCTCACACAAATTGTTGCCATTCTTGCCTTAAAAATATGATTTAAAGAGTCAGGTCTATTTATTTTTGCTACCAAGATCTCTTGCTTACATCTGTCTAAATCTATTGATTTTACTGAGTAAACCACTGTATTTTACTGCTACCATAGATAGAAAAGAATATAAATGTCTGAGTTTTGAACTTGAAAAAACTTAAAATTTATAAATTTTTTTTAGGATGTTGGATTAAATGTATTAGTTTCTGGAATACTAGGAAATAGAGACTCTAGACATGTTTTCTTATTGCATTTTCTCAGAAATTGATTTGCAACTACCAATGCATTTTTCCACAAGGAAAAAGGGTAACTTTTTCAGAGACCTTTCTTGCATAACTCCGCAATAAAGAAGTGCTTCAAATATTTAAAGAATTAATGCTTAACTGAGAAATTGAAAATATACTGCTGCTTTTTACTGAGTGGCAGGTGGACTATTCAAATATAACCATAATAGTAATAAATAATAATGTGTTTAGTGCTTTATATTCTCAAATCTCTATACAAATATTCACTATAATGTTTCCAAAGCATTGGACAAGAAATAATCACTCAGACTTACCCACATTTAGCCTGCCTGTGACTTCTCCATTTGAATTGCGAGCATTCACAGTCACATTGTGAGTAGACTGGAGAAGCAGTGATGAGTCCTGAAGTATGGAGAAAGAAAAAAAGTATGTTGGACAGAACAATCAGAATTGTGAACAATTTTCAAAATTTAGTCTAGTGTTGGTATCAACTCAGTCATTGAAAGGTCTTTGCAGCTACAAAACTATCCACAAATATCACCAAAGAATGTGGGCAATATTTCTGAATATTACAACTGTATCAGATTTAAAGTAAGAAAATTAATTAAAGGGTATAGGTCAAGTGAACAAAATCTGTGCTACTGGACCAATGAATGTGCTGCTTACATTTTATCTTTTGGAAAAATTGCTTTAGTACTAGATTTACTAACTTCCAGTACATAACTGAGACTCCTGGAGGAAGCCATTTAATTGAGTGTGAGCACCTCACTTTGAGAAACATGCATGTGCATTCTGCTTCCTCAATGGTCAACACGGTCTGTAGGCTGTGGCCTAATTTTGGCACCTGGAACTGACTCTCCAGGTGAGGAAGCTGCAAGAGTGAGTGACAGAGAGAGTGGCAGGCTGACTAGATCAATGCTGACTTTAACAGATGACAGACAGTACAGGTGATTTTCAGGGTAATCATAGTGGCCACTGTCTTTACTTGACATTAAATATCAGAAAATTTTCTAGGGACACAAAAACTCATCACTCTCATTTGTATCAGCAAACTGTAATACACTGGTAGACTTCAAAAAGAGGGGATGAAGTTCTCTGCAGTAAAGGTGCTTTCATACTAAAGCATACTTTGTGTCTAAAGGACAAGAACTCAGTAAGTGCTAAGAAGTGCCTATGCATATCTCAGTTGCCAAAGTATCAGGGAATGATATGAAGAGGGTATCAGCAAGCTGCCTGCTTGTGACCTCAGTGGAGATACCCATTCCTAAATAAATGAGTTTCTAGCTACTGTAGTATTGTTAAAAGATCAGTCTCTTTCATAGCTATGGCTTCATGTTTTTCTGGACTCACCAGAGACTATGCAGGACCTTGAAGGACTAAGCCCTGAAAATAACCCCAAGGCATGTTCTCATCTCAATTTAATGCTTAGGGTATGAGACAACCTGAGAGTTTTAAATACTTTTTATGTGAAGGATTTTACTACAGATACTTATTTAGTAACAGAACCACACAGCTGATTAAAAAGCAACACACAATATGGGCTCAAACTTACACATTTTTTTAAAAGAAAACAAATGGTATCTTACAAGTAGGTAGAAAGGCTCTATCAAAAGAAGTCATTAAGTGAGAAAAATAAATGAATCTCACTTTATAAATTATATCAGGAAAATATGTAAGCTCACAGAATTATCACAAATAATTAAGTCATAGGAAAAAAGTAAGCAATGTGTTAGAATAAACATTAATGGTAATAAGTTAGTATGAAGTGGGAAAAGGAAGGTCAAAAAAGATTGGGGATTGGGTAAATATAGTACAGTTAAGTAAATCTGCTAAATGACCCAAAAATCTGGGCATCTTTATTACATTTATTTGATTGCCACTGGTTGATTTGAAAAATAATTTAGTAGTTTGTGATATCAAATGGAAGTGTGAATTAACTGTACTCTAGACCTGCTGCTGCCACATATGTGGCATTGACTAATTAAAATCTAGTAACATGTTTTAAAATGCTTGTCTTTTATCTTTCCATGAAGATGCTTTAGCAAAGGTGCAATGGTCTTGACCACAGCTCTGCGTTGGACACATAATGAAGGCATAAACTTGTAATAGGCTCCAGAGACAATGCACAGCAAGCAGATTTTCTGCTACATATTTTCTTAGCGCTTTGGAGACCTCATTAGGTGAGAAAATCTCTTATGAGACTGCAAGGAGAAAACTATTAAGGCAAGGGAGAAAGATGCTTTGAAAGCTGAGAGGGGCCAGGTTCTCCAAGACAAACTTAGAAAAAGAAAGCTTAACAAATAAGTAATGTTATGAGAATAAACACATAAATGGCAACTCAGGAGAACAAGCTGCAGGCAATTAAGCCTTTAGAGAGTTCAAATATTTTAAAAAGCAAGGATGCAAACAAAAAACCTCTGATAAATTGTCAGTAGGCAGAGAGAAGCAGTAGCCTGAAGGCTCTAATTAATGCCTGCTACTAATGATCATGACGGGTCATTGGACAGCTGAGCTTCTATTAGATGCTGCCACACCTCTTTTTCCTGCATTTGTACTAAATGTATTAAGAGCTGAAAGGAATATTAAGAGAGCACAAATGGTAGCTTAACACTTCAAAACGATCTTTGGGACTAGAGGGAGTTCTTAAACATTAGCTGTGCTGGTCTTAAAAAGTTACATGTCTTACTGGATAAACAACCTCAAGGGAACTTCACCAAAGCACATAAATAGTTCTCTCACTGCCTGTGAGGCAGAAAAGAATACAGCATAAGAAGCTAAATGTAAATATAGATATAGTAATGGAATTTCACTGTCTTAATTAAGAGCTGTTCCTGAAACTGGAAATACTTGTTGCAGAGAGAAAAAGAAAGGCTCAATATAAGTAAAATATGTTGGTGTTGCTTAAATTTTAGTAATCAAGCATGTTAACAGCCTCATTCTGATAAATTTCTGTACATTTTCTCTTGCTATAGCAACATAAACACTAATGTTTTTCCTAGGTTGAGAAAAGTCTCATGGCTGGCTATTTCTTCTCAATTACATGTTCGAGGATGTGAAAGAGCCATATTTTGCTTTTACTGTCACTGAATAGTACTTTATTTAATGAAATGTCCCACTGGTTGATGATGATATTTACAAAACATAAAACTTTATTTTGTGAGACATTGGACTATGGACAAATTTATTTTATTGGATAATTTATTTATTTATCTCTCTACAAAAAATTCACTGGAGTAAGTTTCAGCGTCCCCCTGGATAATCAAAATCTAAATCAGATTCTCTCTTCCTTTTCCTACAGCCAAAACTTCCATACCTTTTCCATTCTCAGTGACATTTTAAAATTAATCATTTTGATAAATAGTTGACCAAGTATGGTATTCTTTTTTTACCTCACTAGCAATAACAACAACAAACTTTTCTATCTACATAAACCAGATTAAAGACTAAGTCTTTCCGTTTAGACCTGTAAATTTTATATACATAAATATATAAACATGCCAGATATTTCATGGCATTGTCTTTAAAGTGAAAAAAACGATATATATTAGAGAAATCATAACTTTTCCATTAGGATCCACTAATTTTAGAGATATTGAAACTATTCTGTAGTGGCTGAATAAAGAAAACAAGCAGTTTCCTAGTAGAAGCCTGTATTAAAAAATAATCTCACTAAAAATAATGAAAACCTTTCTATATGCTCCTCAAGTTTTAGCATTACTTCCATATGATAGCAATTATAATTCCTGTTTGAGCTGCTTATCACATACCTAAGAGATAAATATTAATTCTGACAAATCATAACACTGACCTTGTGAAGTATACAGAAATATGTGTATACACAGATATACACGTACATTCACATACGTATATATTTTTTTAACATGACAGAAATCATGGGAATTTCAATTATTCAGAAGTTCATTCATTTTATTTAGCATTATTCCAAGATTACCCGCTTACCACTCTCGAATGGATTTCTTTGGCATAAAGAGGGAATAAGAATTCAGATTCCCCTTCCAGTCGAAGGCCTTCTTTTGTAACACGCAGGTGTCCCATTCCAGTCTGAGGAGAAGATGTGACAATTATGCACAATTTACTATTGTTGCTGTATTTATTTTGTTTAATTTTCATGAATTAAACATTTTCAGAGCTGCCTGCCTCAAGTCTACTGATAAATATACAAATAGTAATGCACATAAAATTTTGAGAATTCCTTATTTTTTTTTTTCCAGGAGTAATTTTCTGTGAGAAATTGCGGGTTTCATGAAGTTATTAAACTAGGTGATTGTTTTTTGCTTTTTTGGGGGGAGGGAGGGCGTGGAGTGGAATACAGTTTCATAGTTATTAAATTGAAAAGAAATGTATTTGTATTGACTGTGCTGAAACAACTTTTGTACTTGCCTTCCAAAAATGTAATGAACAATAAACTTTTACATTTGAGTACAGACATAAAAAACCTTACGTTAACATCTCAGGGTTTATTCAATCAATAATGTAAGCCTACAGAACAGGCAAAGAGGGATTTTTATTTGCTTTCACTTTCAGCAATTACTTCTTTTTAATTAAGTTTTAATTCATTGGTTTAGGTTTTCTCTCCTTTAACTGTAGGTCAAGGCTCTATATCTCATTATCATGCACTTTTTTCTCTATTACCTGCTTCTCATTTTTCAGCTCTTTTCTTCATCATTCCCTTTCAGCACTTCAGCTTTCAGCACTGTTATTCTTTCCAGCTGATATCTCCTTTCTTTCTTTTTTTTTATTTCTTTTCATCATTATCATAGAATTGATAATGTGAAAAATGAATGAGGAATTACTCCAGTAAGTGCATCAGGGTTTTCAGGCTTCAGCTGCAAGGTCTTTCACAGGTATTTAGCTAATTTGTAAAGGATTCACCCCTTTCCCTGACATAAAGAGTGACAGAAAACTTGCCAAGAATAAAAAAAAAAAAAAAAGGAAGGAAAATGAAGCCTTCCAGTTTGGCCACGTAAAAATATTTCAAGACAACTGCTGCAAATTACAAGGAGCAGATGGAAGGGCTAAATAAAAAACAGTAAACCCTAAAAAGTATTTCCACTCCAAACTCCAGTTTTCAGGTAGTTCTCCACGTAAGCGGATGAGATACATTACCACTGATTTATACACCAATAAACTGTTCATCTAATGAATTATGCTTGCCACTGATAAAAGTTGCGATTGAAGAGATGGCAATTGCTTTCAAATATATGTTCTGACTAATCAGATTATATATGTATATATGTAATGCTAAGTAACATATCAAACCAGCCTTCAATGAAAAATTATAGCTATTTTTTTTAGCAGGCTTGAAAGGAGACAAAGACAGAAACAAGTTTTGCTTAAATTTCATAAGGTAAGAAATGTTCATTCACTCCACTGGAGAGTACAACCACAATTCTTTCTTAGCAAGATTTGCTTCAGGAAAGAGGCTTTTAGAGCAGCTATTTATGGAATCTGTTTTTCAGGGTCAAATATTTTACTGTTTTGAAATATATAACATACTGATTTTTCTCAGTGAAAACAGATATGGTTTCCAAATTCTAGACCAGTGCAAAGTTTTAAAAAGTACCCAGTATATACTGATACACCCCATAAGGCAGAACTAAAATAATACCTATGACAAGCTTTAAAAATGACAATTCCTAGCCAGCACTGACTGATTTAGAAATATATTTTTCTAGTGCAGACCATGGGCAGTTTTTTCTAAATTGCAACACTCTAACATTATAAAGACACATAGGTTTTAAGACAAACACTTTTGAGAAGTCTGATGTGAAATATCAAGATATTATAAAGAAATACCACCAACAAGTATCTCCTCTTTTATTAACCAAATTTAGGGTCTGATAATTAACTCTGGGTTCATACCTTTTCCCATCAGGTGAAAGTAGTTTATATTAGCTATGAGGTTTAAACAGAGTTTGCATATTTTTATGGAATATAAAGACCTAAGTAAGTAGTACATTGGAGAATAAGTACAAAAAAAATGACATTGACAAATCTGAATTTAAGAAGGCAGAGGAAGTACTAGCAATTAATCTTGCTCTGAAGCAAACTGGAGAATATTAACAAACTCCTAGGTGACAATTTCTGTCCTGGCTTTGACAGGAAAAAATTTTTAGTAAACAAAAAAAAATAATTTATGGGATGAAAATGATGCAGTTTACTCAGCACACTCATTCTAATGGATTCAGGTTTCCCAGCAATGATTACTGTTAAAAATGCTATATAGACAAAGAAATGTCTTTGACCTAAAGAATAGTATGCCACATGATAAAACTCAGCACTTTCAACTTATTTGAAAGTTCCTTTTCTTTCAGTAAATCCAGTCATATCCCTCATACTTTGTATAAGTATGTCCTCCAGTATGCCATATTTTCTTCATCAGATATTTAATTTAAGGATTGACACAAAGCTCACATTCTCACATATTTACCTAACAGCCTCATTACCCATTCTCACTGACCACTTGGAAGTGCAAACCCAGGGAAATTTAGATTTGGGCTATGTGCATAAGTAACTAGCAGTGAGGAAAAACATAAACTTTGTAACATGCATGCAAACAATAAAAATGTGGATTTTATATAATGATCCTCACTTCTATTACCTTTGTGACTGCAAACAACTGTTATGTTCTTAGTAACACGATATTTGAGCTTCTTAAGATTGTAAAAGGACAGAGTTATGCAGTACAGTGAGATAGAGGAATTCTATTATGCCCCTTTTATAACTGGGAAATTAAAGTTACCTGGAATATAAAAGAGAGGAATTTAGACTAAACAACCACCCCACTGCACTGAGATCCAACGCTACATTCCAGGAAAAGGCAGAGCATAATTGTTAGACATAATGTTCTCTCAACAACCACTCTGCTTACATTACCAGTTGCAATTTACTGAGTATTGTGGCTTCCTCAGTGATGAACAAACTTCATGCTTTCTGTTTCAAGGATTTGATTCTGTTCCTATTCAAATAATTGAATAAAAATACTTCTACTGACTTGAGGAAAGGGACTCAATATCAGTTAGATGTGGACTTTGATGCAGTTGTGCAACAAGCTGTTGCTTAGGGTTGGGAAAAAGAAGTGCTTCGTTAAACACAGGAGATGTATGCCAAGTCTGGATCCTGGTTATCCTGATGCTGGTGACTGTCACTGCTCAAGTTTGCTGGACCTGAGCTGTAACACGCTGTTGTACATACAGGTATAGCTGAGATTCACATTTTGTAATTACTTAAAGCCCTCAGCAAGGCAGGGACACATCTGTACAGCAGGGAAGGATGAACTAGCATCTCTGTAGACAGCAATCAGGTTTTATTGCTGCAAGGAATTGACTAGTGCGGAAACTGCTGGCAGCTGCCAAACTCTTATGCACCATAGATGCAACTTAGCATTAGTGTTCACAAAGGTGTGACCAGTTTTCATTTCAGAATTGCTTGACTTACTCTAACTGCAGCAACAGGATGTCTTCAACTGCAGTAGAAGCATTTTTTCATAATTTGAAAATGCTTCCAAGCAGATAAGTGCTTGGAGAAACAAAGACAAAGCCTTCTACCAAAAAAATTCAATCTCTGAATACTCATAAAAGCTCATCAAAAGACTTTGATTGAGAAGTCCCAGTCTAAAAGACATTTGACATCCAGCTTTTCAGTGAATTATCTACATAGGGATACTCCAAACCAGCTGAAATTGAGTAGCCACCACTGCAGAATCATAGGTAAGATGCACTGTGTGGTGTAACACTTGGATGGCAGGACCATCTTGGATATGTTATCATTCTCTTAGACTCTAAACACAGACTCCAGACTTCTAGGAGTGGTAAACAAGCAGAAAACAAGAGCTCTAGGGCACTTGCACACATGGTGAGTTGCTCTCTGGTAGCTGAGCCTCCTGCTGCCTATGGCATAAGGAAGCAAAAAAGCTTCAGGTAATTTATTTGGGATTTATATCCCAGGAATATGACAATGTAGGTCTGCTGCTGTAGGCATGTGGCCCTTAGAAATGAGCATGAGGGCATGAGGCATGGGAAACACTAATTCAGTTTAAAAATGAGCATTTCTAGCATTTATTTTCCTATCCACAGTGAAACTGATAAACATTGGCTCACTAGATTTGGCCAACCATTCTCCATATCATATGTCATATCATATCACATCATCACTGTTTCTGCACCTTCTCAGCATTAGATTCAAATGCAGTCCTCAGATTCCTCTGAATAAGAGAAACTGAACTTCTGGTCTCTGTAACAGCTAATGTTACCATGGTTACACCAAAAAAATTCTCAAAAGTTGACTCCAACATTAGTTTTAACACACATTCAATTCAAATCAGGTAGCTCAGGAGTTAAAAGCATGTTTGATTTGCAGTATCTATTCCCTGAACATTCAACCTTTCCATATATTAGAAGTCCATACACGCTGTAGTGGCTGAATGAAACTGGTAATGATATAAACTTCAGAGCAGAAAGGACACAACATTTGGTTGGGGTTGATAAAAATCTTGATGGAAGGCCATGGGAAAAACCCTTCTAGTTGTAAGAAGTATTACCCACAATGCCCCCTGATAAGTTGTATGTTAACTGTGCTAGAAAGTTCTAGGGTTTCTTTGTTATTATTGGGTAAATTTTGCTGCATTATTTTACATACACCTAATCCCAAGTTTTTATTGGTTCCTTTCCCTTTAACTCCACCCCTAACCTAGGATCTGTAAATTACTGTAATACCCTGCACCCTTTTGTATGCATCTCCTGATCGTGTCTGGCTTATGTTTGTTGTTTTCTTGTTAAAGTTATTTTTTGGGTCACACGATTGTGCCTGTCCCTCTTTATTATCATCACCCTCAGACCTCATGCCGATTATCTCCAAGGTAGCACCCGCACAGACCATCCGGGTCCAGTGTCCTACAGCATTTCCACTCAGTTAAATCCTTTTCTTTCTTGTAGGATCCTTACATCCTCCTCCTAGGCCAGATCAAGGAAAGACCTTGGCAAGTTCAGGCCAAGACATCACTTGTTGTGCCTCAAAGCTAGTTCAATTAATGGCTTTATAGA